TACCTCTTGTGTCTGTAACTCACTATTATTTGTCTATTTGTTTTCCTGAGAAACTATTTTGTAGACAATAATATGTAAAATGATAACCATTGATAATTTCCTACCATTTTGTCTGTAATTTGCTAAGTCCCCCCTATTATTATGTTATCCTTCTTTTATTCTTTAAAATAAAAAAAAAAAAAGAAAAAAGGCCCAGGTTCAAGCAGCCTACACAAACACATGGCCTCCGACACTCAGCCCCCACAGCGCTGCGACAGGGCCTTCAGGACCAAAAATACCCAACCACCTGCAGCATTTTTTTTAATTTTGAAGTTTCAGGCTGTTAGAATAATGCCCCTAAGCATAAAACCTGGAATGCTTAGCTTGGCTTCAGACCATCCGGCACCTTGGAGACGCAGCACCATGTTCAGTTTACCCTCTGTGGTCATTGCCTGTTTCCTGTAACTCAAGTCTGGGAGGAGGGGAGAAGCCTGCCGTGGTCGTGGCCATCTCAGATCTGACTGCCGCCCTCCTGTGACCTGAGCAGGCCCCACGGTGACCTCGGCTGAAGAGTACAGAGCAGGAGGGGCTTCGGCAGCCAGAAAGGAAGGTCATGCAAACAGCCTGGGGCAGTGAAAGGGATGAAGGTGACCGTACATGTACCAACGCCCAACGGTGGGTGCCAGCACGCACCGAAGAAAGTGGCTCGGGTCGGCCTGCGGGCGCGGCACAGGTGTCCCTCTCTGCGCCTGAGACTCTCGCTGCTGAGGAGCCGTCGCCTCCGCCTGTACCAGCAGACCCACCTCAGACCTGAGCTCACCTGTCGGTGCGGCAGGTGGAAACCTGCAGAGCTGGGGCCCCGCGGAGCAAATATTGCAGCTGGACCACGGTCCCTGACTCCTGAAGCGGCGCCCCGAATCCTCTGCTTCCTGATCAGGCACTGGGGTGAGTCCGGGAAGCAGAGGCTGAGATGTGCGCTGGGGGCGTCACTTGCAAGAGGGGCACCCCGAGGGAGAAGCGGGGCACGGCAGCACCGAAGCTCTGCCAGAGCGCGGACTCCGAATTCAGCCTCACCAAGCAGATGGAGGACAGGATCAGGAGTCCCTGTTTTGTCACTTAGCATCAGGACACTCAATCTTTCTGTTTTTCTTTTTTGGAACCAGGAATCGGGCTTAGGATCTTGCACTTGCCAGGCAGACGCTGAGCCACAGACCCCGGCCCCAGCCCCAGGACTCTCAGTCTTTGAGTCTGTTTCCTCACATGGACAGAGGAAGGCTGCGGTAACACTTACCTTACCAAGCTCCAGGCGCTGGGCAAATGACTTACTGAACATGAAGACACTTTTGTAAAGTACTTTACCAGTGTGTCCCTAGTACCACCATCACTTTCAGGGAAATGGCAGCGCTGTGGAGAAAATGACCGAGCAGCTCCTTAGGGCATCAAACAACAAACGGGCTGGCGTGCGGGCGGGCCACGCTCCCTAATCACAGCAGCCAATGACACAGGGTGAAGGGTGGCTTGCTGAGTGAGCGCCTGCCCGGTGTCTGGAAAGAACAGTTCAAAAAACCTACGAGGCGGGGAGGTCTTCAGCCTCTCTCAGGGTGTATGCGAAATGTGTATTTCCCAGAGCTTCCCCAAAACTGTGTAAGTCTTACAGGAAAGGAGCTGGAGTGTGATCAGGGTGGGCCCAGGCTTCCTCCCCAGGGCTTCTCGGAGACCTCAGTGGATTCCCCGGGAGGAATGGCTCGCAGGGAGCACTGCATTTACTTAACCACAGAACCCCTCTCCCATCGGGCCTCTGACGGGGCCCTCAGGAAACAGGTTTTGGGAATCTAACACCTCTCCAGGGCGGGGTATTAGAACGGGCACATGGGCCAGTGTGGAAGAGAAATGAGGATACTTTAACATTCCATCGGTGGTAGCAGCTGCTGAACACCTTGGAAGCAGGGAAAGCCCACTGTGAAAACACACTATCGAGCACATCGCACTTCCCTAACCCTCCTCGATCCCACTCCTCCACACCCGCCAGCTGTGCAGCCCGCACTCCACAGTCACATACGGCAAATCTACGCTTTTATTTTTTGTTCTAAAATGTGCTTTTGCCTCAGTGAACTTTAATATCAGTCCAGGACCTCCACCTCCCCTTATAAAAACAAAACAAAACACACACACATACACACATGCCGCCCCCCAACCAGGTGAAAAATCCCCGGCGATTAGTCTATAACAAATATTGACACAAGGGGGAAAAACCATGTTGAAATGTATTAGAATCAACCTGTACAAAAAAAAATTAAAATATAACCTGAAACTGTTCAAGTTCAGAAAGTCTAGTCAAGTCCTTTCTCTGGCCAGGAGTACGCTGTGGTCAGAAGGCTTCGGGTCACCAGCCAAGAGTCGGGACAGAGCAGCGAGTCTTTCACCAGGCTGAGGGGGCTCGGGCCACCATCTCCACCACAGGCGCGGCCAGGGGAGCAGGCGCTGTCAGCTAGGGGCAGCTGGGCCCACGGCAACTGAAGGCTGAGCGGTCAGAGGGAACGGGATGAGTGCCAGCAGAGGCCACCAACGGGCACAGCTTCCGCCAGCCGCAGACCCACAGTACCCTCCCTCCGCTCGGACGCCGGCTCAGTCAACCCCAAGCTCCCACTCTCGAGGGATGCGAGCTGGACTGGAGAGGCTGAAACCCGCAGGTTGAGTAAACACAGCCCAGCACCACACCCCTCTGCGGCTCACCTGGAGCTGCCAGCAGGGCTAAGGCAGGTGGGGAGCAGAGTGGGTGGGTACCTAGCTAGAGGTCACCTGCACCATGGTGGGAACTGGGGGAGGGGGCAGAGAAGCCCCTCCTCGTGCAGGGAGGGGCCGGTGCGCTCATCCCTGCAGGCTGGTTAAGGGTAAAGCTGCCCCCGCATGGGACCAGCCTGACAAAAGGACACGGAGCAAAAGCACGACCAGGAGGGAGGCGCACCCCACGCAGAGGTAAGGACCTCGTGGAGGGGGCCGCAGCGCCGACCCTGGAAGGATGGCATCCGTGCAGCCCCTGAGTCTGAAGGGACCAGCTGGGGAAGGGGTGTGTGGGGCAGGCAGGGGCGGCGGCTTTTCTGGAACAGTGCCAACGGGTGGGGATGCGCTAGTGAGGGGCGGGCAGGTCTGGAACTCTCTGCGGCTAGAGAGGTGGAGGAAATAGGCCCGCAGTGTCCCCTCCCCACCGGACCCAGGCCTGGTGAGTGCCAGCTGCCCCAGCTGGCCCTAGTGGCGGCTGGAGACTAGACTTTTCACTTTGGACATCTTCTTAGCGGGCTGCCTCTGCTCGGCATGCGGCGGGCACTCCCGCTCAGTCAGCTGCTGCTCCATTTCCTGAGCCGAGGAGGATGCGGTGGCCTTCAGCGTCTTCTTAATGTTGGTAACCTGGAGGGAGAAACAAGTGGGGCGCTCAGCCGCGGGCACCCAAAACGCACTGGCACTTGTTCACACTGCAATGAGAGCTTCTCAGAGGAGCAGTCAAAATCCTCTGAGAAAATCGGAAATGATTCTCAGAAATCCAAGGAAAAACACAGGAAATGAGTCCAGCAAAAATGCAGAAATGACACTTTCTCAGTTAAAACGAAAGACACGGGCTATGTGGCAAAGAGGTACCACACAGAGGGTACAAGAAAGTATTAAAATGTCCTGAGGAGGTAATCATGACTATGGAGGAACAAGAAAACAGCCTGTTGCTAGACACAGGTGCAAGTCTCTCGGTCCTTCTTTTCAATCCTGGCCTTCCTTCCAGCCATCATACCTCAGTGAAAGGAGTCACTGGTGAGGAGGTAATATGCTATTTTTGACAACCCTTAGGCTGTAACTCCTTAATAGGTCCCTCTTGCATATCTCTGTCTTCCTGAGAAACCACTCTGAAGATACCACCACGTATTACAGCAGCCATTGATATTTTCCTACTAATCTATCCATAACTGTGTAAAGTTTGTAATGTTCCTATCCTATTTCATAAATGGATGTATGTTTATTATTATGTGTTTCCTACAACAACCATTGAGAATAGTTAATGATTTTTCAATAGGTCACTCATGTATAGCTCTATTTATTTTCTTTAGAAGCCACTATGAAGATACCAAAGTATAGTACAACAACTCTTGATAATCTCCTACCTCTTTTGTCTGTAACTCACTATTATTTGTCTATTTGTTTTCCTGAGAAACTATTTTGTAGACAATAATATGTAAAATGATAACCATTGATAATTTCCTACCATTTTGTCTGTAATTTGCTAAGTCCCCCCTATTATTATGTTATCCTTCTTTTATTCTTTAAAATAAAATTTAAAAAATAAATAAATAAATAAATAAATAAAAATAAAAAAATAAAATGTCCTGAGGAGTAGGAAGGGTGACCCAAGCTCTTCAGCGAACTATCCTCGCTATCTGCTGCTCATACATAATATTTCAAATACTCTCCAAGAACTTGGGAAGACAGTTCCACACACTCTTCTAGAATAAACTACTGCAGGATGAACTTCCGCCAACTAAATGACAAAAGAAGAAAATCCAGGGGGGCTGGGGATTTAGCTCAGCAGCACAGTGCCTGCCTGGCAAGCGCAAGGACATGAGTTCGATTCCTGGTACCGGAAAAAAAAAAAAGAAAATCCAGGAAAAGAGCTGCCACCTGCTAGCACCACCACTCCCCATTTGCTGCTCATCTTTTTTCAGTTAGACATAAAGTAGAGGCTCAAAAATATCTACGCACCAGTCTTCCCTGTCACACGTGTGTCCTAGTGTACTGTGAGTGTGCTACCACTTCTAAGCCAGCACCCCGGGCTCTCGGTGCTTCTGTGGACAGCCTGCAGCAGCTCTCTACACACTCTGCAAACACCTGAGAACACACGGTGCTAGAAGTGAATTTGTCACGGGAGCTGCACACGTCCCAAGGAATTAGCATGCCACACAAGGTGACATGCCTGGAACACAAGAGTGTCTGATGTCAGAGTGTTTCAGGTTCGGGAACATTTGCATTCATTTCACCAATGCTAAAAAGCCTTGAGACGTTGGGGCATTCCTGATTTTCTTCTTAAGCATGCTTGACCCATACCACCTTCTGACACGTAACTGTACCAATGTCTGCTTCTGCCAACTGTGTATTCCAGCGCCTGTTTACATTCAATGCCCCAAGCCCAGTTCTAACGGCTGTTACACCACTGCTCCTCAGCTTGCTGGGAGGAGGAAGTGGAGGAAAAGCAGGCAGAGGAAGGAGGTGGGAGGGAAGTACAATCAAATAAAGATCAGTATTTGCAGAGTCACTAGAAGGAAGAAAGGGGAGAAGGCCAGTGCCGCCAGGCTCATCCGTGGGTAGGACCACCAGGCCATCTCAGAAGCAGGCAGCCCCCGCCCAGCGCACCCACTGCTTCAGGGTCTTGGCGGGGCGGCTGATGAGTGCAGAACACAGAGGAGAGGACGGCTCTCCGCTCCCCCTCACGGGGACCACTCCTTGTTGCTTGCTTGCTTGACTGCAAGGCCTGTTTTGATGGCCTCTGAGGAAAGGCTAAGAAATGTGATTTCTAGAAGGGTACTATAGTGCCTGCCTGGAATCCCAGCACTCTGGGAGGCTGAGACAGGAGGATCCTTAGTTAGAACCCCGCCTGGGCAACTTAGCAAGACACTGTGTCAAAATAAAATAGGGATGTAGCTCAGTACACAGACCCTAAGTTCAAACCCAGTACTGCGCAAAAAAATGTGATTTCCTCAGTATCAGTTTCCTAAAACAACCCTCCAAGGCCTCTCCAATCTGATATGCTTTCTAATAGGAGGAGGAAGAAAGGAACAGCTAATGCTTAATTTTTTCTTGAGCAATTCTGCATGCTTGCATCTGGTAATCTGAACAACTAATTTGAAGACAACAATGTGCAATATAACAACCACTGTTGAATTCCTACCACCTTGTGTAGTGAGGCTCTGTATTGATCCTAACGTGTTTATTACTTTTTATTCTCTTTAATTGTTTGATCAATCTTGCATTCTCACATCTGGTAATCTGGGAAACTCTGTTGAAGATAACAATATGTAATATAACAACCACTGTTAATTCTTATCATTTTGTTTTGAAATCCTGCATTGTTTTTATTGTTGTTGTATTGTTTTTGTCTTTGTTGTTGTTATTTTCTTTTTACTCTCTTTAAAAAGAATCTTCATAAGAGGTGACGTGCGGCTTAAGGCTTTGTGCGCGCCGCAGTTACTCTGACTTCCAGAGCGGAGAGGCGCCTGCAGCTGAACAGCACCGAGGGAGTCACCACCTTACGTGGGGCCCACACCTCACCCCCGCCTCTGGAGGACCGACTCGGCCTCCACCCTGCCTGCGCCATCCGGCCCCTCTGAGACAGCCAGCCTCCCTGCCTCCTACCACTAGAGCCACCAAACAGCCTGATTCGGGGTCCTAGCAAAAGCTTGAGTGAGAAGGGGGACAGGACAAGGCCGCCCGTCCTCACCGAGGTCTGCAGGAGTTGCCCCTCAGGTGCTCGAGACCCCGGCTCGCTCGAGCGGAAGGGGCGGCTGGCTCCTCCTGGAGCTGGAGACAGCACTCCGCTCTGCAACTCTTCCCCGCTGCTCAGCACACACTGCACACTGAAGCCACCTTCCCCACACCCCGCTTGGAAACAGCCATTCTTTTTCTTCTTTTTCTTTCTTTTTTCCCGCTGCAGTGCTGGGTATTGAACCAGCACTTTGGACATGCTAGGCAAGCATTCTAATTCAGAGGTACATCCCAGCCCTTTTAAACTTTGTTACTTTGAGACAGGGTCTCACTAAGTTGCCCAGGCTGGGCCTTACACTGTGATCCTCCTGCCTCAGCCTCCCAAGCACCTGTGATTACAGGCGAGCAACTCCATAGCTGCCAAAAGCAGCTGATTCATCTCTGCTTTTCAGCCTTTCATGACCTTATGATTCCAGCCGGGGCAAAGCCTCCTCAGCAGGGTCCCTTGACACTGCCGGGGAGTCAAGCACCTCTTTCACACAGACTGCCTACCCACTCTTGCCCACACTGACCCGTACCCCCTCAGCCCACTCAGGCCTGGCAGCACCCCTTGCTCCGACTACCCTGCCCACCCCTGGGGTCACGTGCCAGGCGTCAGTGCCACACTCTCTGTAATGCCACCAACACCCCTAAGGCCTTGAGAGCGGTGAGCACTGGAAGCAAAGGGTACACCTCCAGAGGAGAAGAGGCCCAGGCGCGCGTCTCCCACACCCAAGAAGTGAGCTTTCCTCCTCCGCCCAGACCAGGATGGACCAACAGAGCAGGAGGCTGCAAACCGGGCTCTGCAACAGAGAGGCCCTGCTCAAGACAGCTGTAGAGGGGCCATTTTCAACATGCAAACTCAAAAGCCGGTGCCTGAGCCAGTGACAGTCTCAGCCAAAGACCATAGCAACAGCCAAGGCCCTTTGCAGGAGCTGGGCCGCTCGTGCAGACAGCACCTTCCGGGACTCGCGGCTGGCTCCCACATAGGTCTGCAGTCGCGCCCGCTTCAGCCTCGCAGACTCAGAGACCGCCCCTCCTCACAGAGCCTCCTTCAGCCAGCGACAGGTGTCCCCACAGATGTGTCTTCCCTAGCCTAACCTGACCGGCCTCCTGACGTCCTTCCTTCAGCAGCCTTGCTTCCAGTCCACCCCTGCCCCACCTGTCCCCAGCGCTTCAAAACACACATCTCAGGAATTCTTCAGTGTGGTTGCATCTGCTGAAAAAAATGCAGCCTGGCTAGGCCGGGCATGGTGGCGGACACCTGTAACCCCAGCACCGGGAGGCTGAGGCAGGAGGATTGCTGTGAGTTCAAAGCTGGCCTAGGCTACACAGTGATATGCTGTCTAAAAAAAATAAAAAATAAAAGCCAGCCAGAAAGACAGAAAGGCTGCTCAGCGCAGCTGAGGAGCACAGCAAAGGTAGACAGCAGGAAAAAAAGCAATAAAAGTGCTACAAAAAAAGGAACCTGAAGCCGGGTGTGGTGGTGCACACCTGTAATCCCAGCACTTGGGAGGCTGAGGCAGGAGGATTGTTGTGAGTTTCAGGCCAGCCTGGGCTCCACAGTGAATTCAAGTCCAGCCTGAGCTACATAGCCAGACTCTGTCCCAAAAAGACAAAAAAAAAAAAAAAAAAAAAGGACCCTGAGATGGAGAGAATCTGCCCAGGAGGAGCCAAGAGGTACGTAACAGCCACCAAGCCCCAGATTTGTCACTATCCCAACTCCCAGAGGACTGTACACAATGGTAAACAGAGCTTCGGTTTCCTTTAGTATGTGAGAGCAGAACGTAGCCTAGTTTGTGAATGTACAACGGCTACTGTTATTAACATTCCATGGCACAGGCACTTTCAATACACTCCAAAATCAAATGGAAATGAAGAGCAGCTTGTGATGCTGCAACTAATGGTTCTTTCTCTCTGCAGAGCACTCACTCAGAAAGAGTGAAACGACGCACACTGTGAGCACTCTAGCTCCCCTAGGCAGCTGGAATGATCTAAACATGCTGTTTCTAGGGAGGGTTAAAGGAGAGAACTCTCCCAGGCAGTCTACGATAGGGTCTGCGTCACTTGGAGGGAAGGCTCTGAAAGGTGCATCTCAGCAGAACAAGTGGTTACAAATCTGGGAGGAAAGCACTGCTCTCCCATGAGACCAGTACTGTAATTTATAGATAAAGCTGTGTGTGGCAGCACATGCTGGTAACCCCAACCCGCCTCTGGGAGGCTGAGGCAGGAGGATCGCAAGTTTAAGCCTATCCTGGGCACCTGAGCAATTTAGTGAGATCCTGCATCAAAATTTTAAAAGGGGGCGTTGTTAAAAACAAGAAACAAGCTGTAATACGTACAGGTACCCACTATCGAAGAGGCCTGTAAACTGCATATACTGCGAACATGTACTAATAAAAAAAACTTTTAAGTTTTTAAAAAAAGGGCTGGGGATGTAGCTCAATGCTAACGCCCCAGAGGCAATCCCCAGTACTACAAAAAAGAAAGAGGAGAATGGATAGAGAGAGGGAAAGAAAAGATCACCAGCTCAGATGAGAAAATGGCCATACAAGTTAGGCCAGGCTAACAGATGCAGAAACACAAGCAGGTCTCAGCAGACCGACCTTGCGCTTCGCAGACTCGTTTGCCTCTTCAGGTAAGTACTGGGCAAGCCCCTCCCCTGCACCGCAAGCTGGGGACGCCTGCCCCACCCCGCCTGGCATCGGCTTGGGCACTGACTGAATGGAAGCGACAGGGTTCTGAGCTCTACTCTCTCCCGCTGCACCGGTCTGCTTCAAGGCTTCCAGAAGACTAACAAGTTTAGGGAAGGTGGCCTTGACCTTTTCCTCAAATTGTTCTCAAATGTAAGTCCTTGGCGCCACCTGGTGGCAGGATTAGGCTCTGCTGGCAGAGGAAGTTGCGTTTTCCAACAGGCACCCCTAACAAACATAAGTGTGCTGGCTCCAGCTTAAAAGCCATGATTTCGTCCACACTGTGGCATAAGCACAGGGCACACCTCAAGCAGCAGTCAAGCGCCTACAGTAACTCCATGCACATCTGCCTTTCCTTTGTCGGACGCCATTCGTCACCCAAAGCAACGCAAACAGTTCAAAATTCTCAGGCTAGTGCCACTCAGCCTTTCGTTCATGACCACAATGATGCCGACAGCCCCCCTCCCATCACCTGCCAGCCAGTCAGCACATGTCCAGCATCACAGCACACAGGTAGTGACCAGGCCGCTCTGCGCCCCTGGCTAGGAAAGGCGGAGACTTTACCCGGGCTTCGCTAAGGTCAGTCAGGGCCCCAGAGCCTCCAAGCCTGGGTTCCCTGGTTTGTCTGCCAGGGAATAAACAGGCCTGGCAGTGGCTGCAGGGCCGAGGAGCAGCAGGCTCCTTTCCCTCCTTTCCCAGCTGTCTGCCCTTGCTCGCGTTCCATGCAGTGCCTCCTCCTGGCCAGAGCAGGAGGGGACACAGACCCCAAGGGCACAGCCCCGATACTCGGCGATGTCCACCGGAGGTGCTCAACACCTGAGCGCCTGCTGCGGGTCAGGCATGGGCCAGCAGCCAGTCTTACAAAGAAAATAAGACACAGTTTCACTTATTTCAAAGCACAGGGACAGGTTAACTCTCACAAACCGCTCCCAAAGGCACAGCTGCTCGTTTCTTTCAGTCCTTACCTGGAACCCCAGCCCCGCTCTGCCACACTCTGGGACGCCTGCTTCCAACTCATTCAACGCCATCGCCCCCTCAAGCCCACGCACACTGGGAAAGCACTTCTAACGGCGAGAACAAGCAGGTGTCACAAAACCAGACTCACGTCCTCTTGCCTTCATTTCATTCACTCAATTCTTCTCTTCCTTTTTTAGTATGAACTCTATCACGTGTTCACGAAGGTTATAATGTACATACACAGTCCAGAGAAAATCAACACTCTGCACCTACCACACCCCGCAAGCAAAGCAGTACAGCTTTACAGGGCCTTGAAGTCCACGTGCATGCCACCTGCACCTCCTCCCTCGGCAGCTGTGACCTGGTAACCACCATCCTTCGTGTGTGTGCGCGTGTGTGTGTGTGTGTGTGTGTACAGTGCTAGTGTGGAGTCAGGGCCTCCTGCCTGACAGACACTGTAAGCGCTCTACCACTGAGCCCATGTCTGACCACTTTTAAGGCCCATCTCCAAATCATCCTCCCTCTCTCTACAGATGCAAAGTGCATGGGAACTGAGGAACTGAACCTTCGCCATCCAAGCCTGCTTACCCTCTGCTAACCAGCACTCAGAGGGAGACAGAGGACCAAGGGCCGCAGCTGAGGCCCAAGCCCCCTCTGTCTGAGCACCGAACCTGATGCCTGCTCTGGGCCGCGTGTCAGCCACACCAAGGCTCACATGACAGAAACACAAAACCCCGCAAAGGCACAGCCAGGAGCAGCTGGTGAGAGGCGCGCAGTGCCGTGCTTACCTCCGCCTCCACCTGCTGTTGCGTGCGGTGGTGGTTCTCCTTGTACTGGTTGGCTCTCAGAACTTGCTGCTCGATGCCTAGCAGGACCGCTTCACAGCCATCGCACCTGCAACAGAGAAAACCAGCCCTGAACTGCGGAGAGACACAGAGCTCCGGTGCGGGAACCGCACCCCCTCCACTCTCGCTCCTGCCTCCTTCCAGGTGACAAGCTTGTCCAGACACAGCACCGGACACATGAGGACAAATATGTGGTTTGTGGGTGGCTCCTTGGAATACAGCTGTAATTTCCAGCCTCTGTAGCCCATGGAAAATGGTTTTGCAAAAGAGAATGTAAGCTGGAAGGAGGTAGGAGGGACTACAGCTGGCACTCACACTTGCTTTCCTCACTAGAAAAATGCATTTCCCACAAGCATCCTATGTGGAATGCTTTTTATTTTCCTCACTTTTTATTTTAAAAATTAAAAATAAAGAAAGTTGGGAGTAGTGGTACATGCCGGTAGTCCTAGCACTGAGGGAGGCTGAGGCAGGAGGATCCCAAGTTTGAGCCTGCCTAGATAACTCAGCGGGGCTGGGGATTTAGCTCAGCGGCAAAAGCGCCTGCCTGGCAAGCGCAAGGTCGTGAGTTCGGTTCCCGGTACCGGAGAAAAAAAACAAAAAAAAAAAACAAACAACAAAATAAAATAAAATAAAATAAAAAAATAACTCAGCAAGACCCTGTCTTAAAATAAAAAGAAGGGAGCCAGATGCGGTGGTGCACACCTATAACCCCAGCATTTGGAAAGTTGAACCAGAAGGATCACCAAGAGTTCAAGGCCAATCTGGGCTACATAATGAGTTCAAGGCCAGCCTGAACTACACAGTGAGACCCTGTCTCAAAAAAAAAAAAAAAAAATAAGTAGACAAACGGCTAGGAATGTAGCTCAGTGGTAGAGTGCCTGCCTCAGGTTCAATTCCAAATGCAAGAGAAAAGGAAAAGGAAAAAGAAAAAGAGGAGAGAGAGAGAGAGAGAGAAATAGGGCCAGGAGTAGTGGCACATGCCTGTAATCCCAGCACTCAGGAGGCTGAGGCAGGAGGATCACAAAGAGTTCAACATCAGCCTGGGCTCCACAGTGAGTTCAAGGCAGCCTGAACTATATAACGAGACCCTGTCTCAAAAAAGAGAGAGAGAAAGAGAGGAGGCAAGAGAAAGGAAAGAGAGACAGAAGAAAGACTACCCATATACCTTACACTTAAGGTACAACACTGCAAATATTTGGGCACGTTTGTGGTACCTCACAATAGAGCAACTCTGTTTCCAGTCCAATCCCAATTCCTGAACAGCAGTCTGAGAATCTCTCCTAGTGAGCACCCTTGGATAGGAGTCAGGATGGCAAGGCCTGGCCAAACGTATCGGGGGCTTAAAACAAGAAACCATGAAAACTGTGCCAGCCATGCTACAAGTGAACAAGGACAACCAACTTTAGCAGCATCAGACATTAGATTTGATGCTGTACCACTTCTACGTTAGAGGTATTTTCTAAGTTCATTCTGTTTAACAGCTTAGCAATCCACTGAAAGCTTCTGCTTTTGTCATATATTGCAAAGGCAAGGGATTCGGAGCCAAACTGGGGGAGGAACTTGAGATGCTGGACACAGCACCTGCCCTGGGGCCTGAGACACTTCTGAGGCGTCAGGGCATCAGGTCCCAGGGAACAAACCCTGGGGCACTCATCTCTGGACTCTCCACTTGGAAACACACCGGACATCCGTTCTGTGTGGAAGAAAATGACCTTCCTGCCCCTCTGCCAAAGCTGACCTGCTCTGTCCCTGCCCAGGAACAGAGCATCTACGTACACCCTCCGCATCTCCCGTTACACTCCCGGCCCCTTCAGCCCTCACTACAGCTTCTCTGAGTACAATTGGTTCCATAAGTCCTTGCAAAAATCAAATTTCATTGAGACAGCACTCCCAGAAGTCCCAACTCCTTGTAAATGGCAGACGCAGTTATCAAATACTTATGTGTGATCTGTGTTCCAAGTAATCATAACGAGGCCCGGGCATCAACATCCCTCGAGGTGTGTCAGCCCGAGACACTGCTGACCGAACATGGTTTCTCTTATCCAAAGAACCTTCCAAACATGAACTTCCTGAGCGTGGCCAAACTTTGTGCCCACACTTAGCAAGCGTGGATCGGCCAGGACGCACAGGCCTATGTGCTGAGCCTCAGGTGCCTGGCCTGGCTATTCTATGGCCCCCAGCTGCATTTAAGACAAGAACAAGTTTATTGCTGAGGCAGTAGGAGGCCTGAAATGACCCCTGTTGCCATCACACAGCTGTGATAATAAATGAAGCCCATGCTGGCTCCCCACTGTAAGGCCCCAAGGCTGGAAGCCCCAGTACCAGCCACCTCTGATGACCTCTAGAGATCACAAGTTTGCAAGCAGAGGCACAAAGGCCACGCTATCTATCCCGCTCCTCCTTCCAGCCTCACCATTCATGCAAGGTCTTGACAATGTTATTGATATCCTTCTTTCGGATGTCACGGCCAATGCAGAAATCCACTTCTAACAGCTGGTTCCGCTGGTCCAGCTTGCCCTGGATGATGTCAGTGTAGACGGCCTCGATGATGAGGTCTTCCAGTTCCCGGAGATTCCTCATCTCCAGGTCCTTCAGCAGCACAGAGTAGGGGATACACTGTGGAGAAGACCACTGACAGTTATGAACGCCCCTGGCGAGCATTAATGAAGATACAGCTACTATCCAGCGCCAGCAGCCGCCTCTGGGCTCAGGCCATGCAGGCCAATGATAACCGCTAACATCGGGGCAGGCCTGTCCAACTCAAGGCCCTGACAGCTAATGACACAGCTACACAAGTCCTTGAACTTTTTTTAGTGGGGGGATGCGGAGGTTGAGACAGGGTCTTGCTATGAGGTCCAGGCTGGGATGGCAGTGGGCACTGCCATTCTCAGGCTAGATACCACACACTTTTAACACTGTTATGTGACTTTGGCAATAATTTTCATGGCTTAACTGCAGGGTACAACAACACAACACGTGGCAGGGGAAGGCACAGCACACGACGAGCTCAGCTCCCGCACCCAGCACCCAGCCGGCCAAGCTGGAATCCGCGAGAATCAGGCATCACGTGCACTGTGCAACATGAAGAGGAAAATGCAGTGACACCCATAACAGCATTTCAACTGCCTACACATCAGGGACTTGTTCTTATTAAGCAGACATCTAAGTTTTCTCATTTTAGTAGGAAACTTGGACTTGTGTTACTTCTTAATTCAGTAAATTAAAATATTTTTTAAAGATGTTACACTAATCCCAGCACTCGGGATGCTGAGGCAAGAGAATAACTGTGAGTTCAAGGTCAGCCTGGGCTACACAGTGAGTTCAAGATCAGCCTGAACTGCATAGAGAGACCCCGTCTCAAAAAAAACAAACAAACAAAAAATTTTTAAAACAATAAAGAAGATATAGAAACTATATAGAGAATTCATACTGTGTATATATAGCCTATATATACTATATTATGACTTCATACACACCCCATGACAATTCTTCACTCAGGGCAGCCAAAGCAAGTCAAGGTAGGACCCCCATGGTCTAGCGCCACCAGGGATGGATAAATGAACTGCAGGACCTGTGAGACCCAAGCATGACCCCACAGCACGCCTCCTGGTTTTCTACCCTGGGGAGTGTACCCAGCCACGGGCTTTCACCCTGGGGCACACTCCCGCAGATTCTAGACACCTTCTGCAGAAAGGGAAATACTTGGTATGTACCACTCTGCCACCTTTCGGAAGTCTATAGACTGCATAACATGCCAGATTATCACAAACCTCCAATAAACCCTGGCACCGGCTGCCTGCGCAGCAGAACATCAGCAAGGACCCTGCAGGCCAGCGTGCCCTCCTCCAGCGGCACGCCTGTGTCCTCAGACTTCTGCCACCAACACCAAACCCCTCCGCTGGTCCTGCACTGGGCCGCGGCAATGGACTGAATGACTCCGAGACAACAGGGTATCTGACCTTCATCCTTGATGCCAGGCTCACGATGGTAAGGTGTTTCAGCTTGTTCTGCTGGGCTGTGCTCAGTTCTGGCAGGCTCTCCTTGTTGGCTGCTCGGTCCCACCCACCACAAAAATCAAGACATAAAATAAAATCAGGATTTCTTTTATGGAGTAAATTCATTAACTCCCTGCCAAATCTACTAAATCACTGTCATGACACTGAACTTGTTCACTAGGCAAGCATTGCATGAGCACTTCTGTCCTCTCTGGGAGATCATGCGCCTCCAAGAGGAAAAGACTCGGCCCCTCCACGCAATGAGTAGGCAGAGGCGGGGTCCAGGAAGAGCACACTCAGCAACAGCAGCACGGAGCCAGGCAGCAGGGCAGCAGCAGCAGCAGGGAGCCCAGCCCACAGCCTGTGCACGAGCGCGCCTCCCACTCATCCTCACACAGACCCGACCCCTTCAGCTCTTAACCATAACTCGGGATTCCAAACGGCAAAGCTACCCGGGCGTGGTGCCGTGCACCTATAATCCTCAGGAGGCTGAGGCAGGAGGATTGCCGCAAGTTCAAGGCCAACTTGGGCTACGTAGTTAGTTCAGGAGCATCGTGAACCATACAGTAAGACCTTGTCTCAAGAAACAAAAAACAAAGATAAATCTAAAAAACCCAAAAAACTAAAGCTGAATTGTTTTCTTCTTAAGCACAGTGCTGGAATTCATTGGGTGGCAACTCCTGTCCCCAGCTGAGGCCAGCTTCTCTCTATTTTGTCTGCAGACTGGGGACTGAAGCCAGGGCCTCACTCGTTAGGAAAGCACTCTAGCATCTACCTTCAGCCCTTTTTATTTTGAGACAAGGTCTCACTGAGTTGCCCAGACTGGCCCTAAACTTTTCCACCCTCCTGCCTCAGCCTCCTGAGTAGATGGCATTAAGAATGTACATACCCAGGCTGGGGCCAGCTTTTTATCTTATTTGTGCAAATATTCACTTGTTTTACAGCAAAACTGTGGAGATATTTGACTACAGACGCTACTTGGGAATGTTACACAGAAAGGCTTATGTATCCTATGACCTTTCTAAAGGCCCCCAGAAGTCTAAATTTTGAAAACATCTAGCCTCAAAATGTGTAGGTAAGGGGTTATGGACTCATATTATGACTTTCACCTTACAGATAAAGAAACTGAGGCACACAAAATTATTGAATTCACCGAAGGACATACAGCTAGTAGAAGTGGAACTAGACTACCTGGTCCCACAGTCTGTGCAATGCTGCCTCCTCGGTAAGTGAGGACAGAGAGGACATGACCAGAACAAAGAAGCAGCAAGAAAAATGTGGTACAACAGGAAGTGGTGTCCTGCTCAGGCTGACAACAGCACAGAAGAGGCAGAAGCGACAAGGGAGGGGAAGCCAGGGTTACAACAGAGATGGTCCTGAGTATCAGGCTAGCTTTATACCAACAAAACAGATAAACAAAAACAAAAAACAAAACATACTAAAGAAGCCAGGGGAAAAAACAGTTGGGGTTAAGGAAAGTTGGTGTGTGGTCTTACAAGTCCCTCATTTGTGATATTTAAGGCTCTAAATTAAAACAACTCAAGGGCATCCCACTCAGGTCCCCTTCTGTCTCTCTCGGACAAAAGCTTTCTTCCCCCTCCACCAGTAAATATATTCTGCTCTTAAAAAAATCCTCAAGTGAGTTGGGGTTATAGCTTAACAGGACAGTGCTAGATTATGGAATATTAAAAATGAACTGACTTAGAATATGGATAAAGACCTATAAACTAAGTGAAGATAAATAGAAGATACGAACCTGTATACATAACCTAACTACGCAATGTAGTAGAAAACACAGGAGGAAAGAATCTAGCACCATACTGCTAACTTGATGGGTTACAACTATAAGTCACTTTTTTATCTACTTTTCAAATTTTCTTCAACACGGTGATACTATTTTGATAACATCTAAGGTGCTGAAATATTTTACAATGGGCATTCTGACACTTTAAAAGCACTCCAAGTACCTCATGAACACCAGCTCTCAGTGTTTCTCCTGGAAAATACACAAGGGCTCTGCTTGTGGATGAGCTCATTTTATCAAACAGGAAATAAAGGTGAGAAGAGAAAGCCCTTTCCTGAGGTCACCAACAGGGGTCAGCAGAGTGAAAAGGTCAAGGCAAGAAGGTTCCCTAACACATACACGTTGCCTCTCGGCCCGGTGGGTCTCCAAACCGAGCCACGCAGTCAAGACAAGTCTTTTGAAGGATCTCCACCAACTCACCTATGTAGTCCGGGTACGTCCCATAGGCAAACAAGTTCAGCAACTGCAAGTAAGCAGCATTAGCTCCTTCTGCAAGCTGAGGAGGAAAAACAAAGTTCACTGGAGAACAAGCTGTTGAACTGGCACTGCAGTGTTCCACAGAGGGTGGGCGACTGTGCCGAAGGTAGATGCCTGCTCCTTCTGCACCACTGACTCAGTCCCCCTGAGGGCCCTTCCAACTCTGATTCTTTGCGGAAAAATTAAATTTCTAAAGCCCCAAATTGGATCTTTCTTCCTCAAGATGTTTTACACTATTTGCTGGGATTCGAGGCATGGAAAACCACAACCAGTACCAGAATACTTTTAATTTTATAGTGCTCCCAAAGATAAAACAGCAACTGAGTCCACATGGAATACCATTTTGTGGGATGGGCAGAGTTCAACCTGGAGTTAAAGGGATCATGTCCTCAGAGCTTTAAGTTGGAAGCAGGTCAAGTTTTCTCAGATTCCCTTTGCATTAAAACAAAGACTGGAGCAGCCCTGTACAAACCCCAGCTTTACAGGCTGATAACCACTATCAACCTAAACTGAAAAGCTTAGGGTCAGTTCCAAGTTTCAGGACTACACATGGACTATGAACCCAGGAAGTGACTAGCAGAGCACGAGCCCGTCTGGGACAGAAAAGCAGGCTATGAGACTGCCCCAAATAAAAGTTTTCATTAAAATTACTTTCTCTTCACTGATGCTGATGGCAAACAGCCATCCACAGAACAAAAACGAGAGAGCCACTGTTCTGCCAGGAACTCTCTGCTCCGCCATGGCTACAAATGACAGCCTGTTAGCCTCCCAGCTCACCAAGTGCAGTAAAGTGGAAACAAGACTAGCAAGTGGCGCTTGGCAGATACCAGTAGCAGCGCTGCTCAATTGCAGCCATTTGGGGAAAAAAAAAAAAAAAAAGGTTCTAAGAACCCATAAGTTCAGACCACTGAAGGCAACCAGCTTATTCTCAGCTCTCAAATGGAAAAACATAAACTTGGAGAGAGAAAAAGTGGCCTCCTCAGCACCCCGCTGAGAACTCTGGCAGCAAATACTTCAGTCTACCTCTCAGGTTACTACCAGCCTCCTGAAGTCCCAAAATAAGAGTTGCAAGAGGCCTGTGTGTTGTGCTATGTATTCAGCTCCAAGGAGCTTGGGGCTTGCAGATCTTACAGGGTAGCAAGCAAGACTGGCATTAAATAACAAGTTACAACTGAAAAACCAATGTGGCTCTCTCTTTCCACCTCTCATCAGAGGAAGAAGAGATGTGCGGAATGGTGGTGGGGAGCTGCTCCAGTCTCCCGACCAAGAGGAAGAAGCAGACAGCACTGAACCCATAACCTGAAGGTGGAAACTGGCTGTGGGGGTGGGGCTGGCAGCCAACAGGAAAGGCATCGTGGTGATCATGAAGGTGCTGAAGCACCCAGCAGGAGCAAGCCACCTCCCTCAGGTACCACCACCAAGAGCCCAAGAGCCACTCTCAGCAGTATCCGGCATACGACACTCAGGAAGCACCAACGCCTGGGTCTGTGCCTGACAGCCATCGGCCAGTGCCATCCTGCGCACCACCAGCCTGGGACAGCAAATAGAAAATGAACTAACCCCACCAGCACACCAAGAGCTCCTCAGTGCCAAGCTCCGCCAGTGGCAAGATGTTTGCACTTTTCTCAAATAAATCAAAACACAAGTGTCAAAGATAAGAAGTATAAGGTGCTTTCTATCTGTGTTCCATCCAGTCATCAACAGGTCTTCTCATGTTTGAGGCACAGTGACCAAAACTGGACACAACAATCAAGCCAACAAAGCGAAATCAACTCCTTCCCTGCTTTACATTTCTTGCCTTTTTACCATATCTATTTTACTGCCCTTTCCACAGGGATGCTGTTTTCCTATTTGTGTCCATCTCCTGTTCAACAGCTACAATCTTCCGCTATGTGTGTCCCTGACCAATCTTTTCCACATTGCGCTGGAGGCTTTCTGCCCCTCAAAATTCCTACTGAACATCAGCGCATATTTACAGCACTATTCTAACTGATCAGGACCATTTCGACTTTCCTACTATCTTTCAGGTACCTACCAACCCAGTCAAATTTTCCTCAAGTTCAGGGAAAAATATTGAATGAAAGGAACATCAGACATCATCCTCAATCACTGGCCCACTAACACGTCCCTCTCTCAACAGGCATCTCACAAGTCCACAATCCTCCAGCACTGGAAGCCTTGTAAATCTGGAGAATCACTGAAAAGCTTAGAACAAAGAGAAATTGGAAACCACTCTTACCTCCTGAACGTTGGCCAGCTCCAGTAATTCTCCAAAGACGTACACTCCAGGAGCCTCCAATACCTGGCTTATGAGAGCAGTCAGGGCTGACCCGTTGGTACCTTTGGCTAATAAAATAAACTGTTCCAGGAGGTTACTTGAAGGTTTTTGTTCACCTGCCATTCTCTGGCTTTAAGATCTGTTCAAAAGAAAAGAGTGTCAGTCATTCTCCTTCTTCCTTTCCAAAGTCCGTACTTACGTAATGCTGAACCAAACACCAGAATACTTTTTTCCCCAGTATGAGGGATTGAACTCAGAGCTTCATGCATGTTAGGCAAGCATTCTACCACTGAACTGCATCCCCAGCCTTTAATTTATTTTGAGACAGAGTCTCACTAAGTTGCCCAGAGTGACCTCAACTTTTTGATCCTCTGGTCTCAGCCTCCTATGTTGCTGGGATTCGAGGCATGGAAAACCACAACCAGTACCAGAATACTTTTAATTTTATAGTGCTCCCAAAGATAAAACAGCAACTGAGTCCAAATGGAATACCATTTTGTGGGATGGGCAGAGTTCAACCTGGAGTTAAAGGGGTCATGTCCTCAATTCTGAGGTTTGAAACACACTTTGTAAAAGGCATTTCCTCCTTCTAAAATCCTTAAAGCTGACCAGAATGGAAACTAACACACAAAAGTTTCTCTCTACTTTTTTTTCAAGTTTTTGAGACAGGGTCTCCCTGTGTAAATCAGGCTGGCCTTGAACTCACTATGTAGCCCAGGCTGGCCTCAAACTCACAGCAATCTACCTGTCTCAGCCTTCCCAGTGCTGGGATTACAGGCGTGGGATACCATGCCCAGCTCTCCCTAGATGTTTTACTTCTACCTGATTTATAGGCTCTGGTTAAGAGGCAATTCATTTCAGCTTCCATGTGTCATCAGGACCCCATCTACCGTCAGACACAAATAAAATACAAAAAATAGACAAGAGCTACGCTTCACTTAACCAAAGAAGTTATTTAAGAGCTGCAGATGTGGTACAGCATGAGCTTTGCAAGCACAAGGCCTTGGGTTCCATGGGGGGGCATCATTTAAGCACAGGAAATGGAGAAAACCTATTATGAAAGATAAGCAACAAGTTCAAACTTAGAAAATACACACTGTATAAGGGGGGGAAGGTCCCTTTATTTGGCCTTCTACTGATATGATTTACCAACCAGACTTCAGAACTTATACAAAACCTTAACAACAACACGATGAGAAAACAATGCAGATACTGTACTGCATCCCCAAGCCAGTAGATTCGTGAGGGTCCTCAACTGTGATCTAAGTGCAGGCTGAATGTCTGTGGGCACACAGAATACCTACTCTGCACGAGCTCTACGTAAGACAAGACACGTCCTCCACGAATGAAACATTGGGAAGTGTGACAAAATGACAGAAAGGTCTACATAGAAGAGTGAAGCAAAGGACAATTCAAAGAAGGTTAATTTGGTGCAAGAGAAACTAAGTTTTCCTGTGGAGTTGGGTACACCTAACAACAACTGTTCCTCACTATTAAAGTGTTGCCTGACTTCCGTTTCCTACGCAGGTCCTGTCAGAAACAGAAGCGCTCAGGAACAAAGGCTTCTGAGGAACGGGAAAGGGGAGGAAGAGGAGAGGGTGACAGGACAGCAGGAACGGGAGGAGAGGAAGGCAAGCGGCGAGGGTTAGGAAAGAAGGAACAAAAACTGCCCTTCCAAGTGGACACGTGGGAACAGACAGATGGAGATCTCGGCCAACAGACTAAACGGAAGACGCCAGGGATGGCCAGGAGGGAAGGAAACGGGAGAAACTTCGGCGCCTGCAAAACACCTCAACCTAGACAGCAAAGCCCGTGGAGGCAGAGCACGGACGCGGGTGATGGTCGTTTTCCCAGGAGTGGGAGGGCCCGAGGCGGCGCGGGGGACCCAGCGGGGCGAATTCCCGACAGGGGAGGGTGCTAATTTGATGGGCCGGGGCGGGCGAAGGGGCAGCCGCCGGGCCGCACACGCCGCGAGCTCAGCCGCAGCCCGTTGGCCGAAGG